AGCGGGGTTTCACGGGGAACGCACACAACTGCCTTTTTTCCAGCACGTAAACGCTGCTTGGCTGAACGTTTGCAGTGGTGCTGCTGTTTCCAGCGGCGCTGGAGCTGTGCTGGGACGGTGCAGGAGCTCCGAGAGGCAGCTTCCCTTCGTGCCTCGCTCCGGAAACACGCGTCCCGCACGCCTTGTCTAGCACAGCGCAAACCGCGGTTAAATGTTACGTGGAACTGTCAACCAACTGTTCTACAAACAGTCTGTGTTAAGTTGCTCCTTTCTGCTGTGGACGTGTCCTTAGCTGTTAAACTGACGCGAGCTGAAACAATCTGTCTCCTTCTTTATCTTTAGGGCATTATGTTAGTCTATGACATCACCAATGAAAAATCTTTTGAAAATATTCGGAACTGGGTCAGGAACATTGAAGAGGTAATTTCTCTGTTTACTTACTGACTATTAAAGATGCTGTTTCTTCCTCCAAAAGTAATTGAAACTTAATTGCTTCAGAATTGTTAAGATTGTTTTGAATTAATGTGCTGAAGGGGCACTTGGAAAATAAACGGAAAGAACATCAGCTGCACCTTCGGGAGCGTCTCGGTTGTGCTGGCGCAGGAGGGCGGGCTGGGGGGCTGTGACCCTTCTGGTGATGAGGGGACCTAACGGCTGATGTTTTCCTACCGCAACAAGTGGCTGGAGAGCTCTCGTTGTGCAGGACGGGTGCTGGGCCGTCAGTGCCGCTGTGTGCTGGGAGGAGGGGTTTGGGGAGCCCTTAAACCTGGGGAAGAGGCTGGGCACCAGCACCAGCGTTGGGTCCTGGTGTGGGCAGCAGCTTTGTGACGATATTTGTCTAAAACCAGCCAAGCCAAAGCCCATTCTTCGGTGTGTTCCTTTCTCAGCACGCCTCTCCAGATGTTGAAAAAATGATCCTTGGGAACAAATGTGATGCAAATGACAAAAGACAGGTTTCTAGAGAGCAAGGGGAGAAGGTAAGTGCCGTGGCTTCACTGTGCTTCAAGTTAGACTTCTCAGAGTGTGAAAGTTGCGTCCGTCACTGCCTGTGCTGCGTTGGTATTGCGGTGGTGTTTCTGAGCGGAACTAGGGAACGATTCCCAAGCTGTAGTTGCAAAACATTTCCCCACTGGTGGAAGATGAGTCTGTGGTAAGAGTTCTTGTCGATTATCTGGCCAAGGTGTGGTAGGTGCAAAGCAACAAGCTGGATTTTTTTTGTTAGAAAAAGGAAGAAAAAGCGTGCTGGGGTTTGACATTTAAGAAATGTCCCTTTTTGTCTGAAAGCCACTGAGACAAGGTCGACAGGATTGGCTTTCCTGGCGTCAGATGGTACTTAGTCAAGGTGGAGAAGGTGCTTCTACGCACGGCAGATGTGACAAGACTGACAAGGTTTCTATGCAAAAAAAAAACCCAAAACCTAGAGACAAAGGAGCAGATGAAAATGTGTGCAGAGTGCGAAACAGCAGAACAAAGCCAGTAAAATAGATGCTAATGGGAATGGGACTTAGTTCCTGATTTCTGGAAATTGTTTTGCTCAAGTAAATCCCCAAGTACCTGTGAGTCACGCCAGGAGGGGCAGCTCCTGCGCGGCTGATTGTATTTATAGCTGTTCCCGCAATTATCCGACTAACGTGAAACCTGCTTTTGTTCAGCTTGCTGCAAGCTTTGGAATTAAATTTATGGAGACCAGCGCAAAAGCAAATATAAACATAGAGAACGTAAGTACCGAAACCTTTCTCTTCTATTTATTGTCTTATTATTTGTGCAAACAAGCAGTAAGAACGCTTGCCCATCCTGGCTGGATGCAAAACTAGATACTTCGGACGGGTTATTAAGTATATCTCCGTGCGTTCCACGAGGGCATTGTCTAACCGTCACACGAAATGATTTAGATTGAACTGGGTGCTTGGAGATCAGCGGAAGGGGTTGCAGCACAGTGAAAAACTCGGCGTGTCTTTGCATTCAATAATGTCATTGATAAAGGGCGACGTTTTGCCACTGGGTAACCTGGATGTGCCTCGGCATGGGTTTGCAGCCTCGGAAAGGAGGCTGTGGAGTTAGAAAAGGAGCTTTAAAACCTGAAGGTGGGGAAAACTGAAAACTTGACATTCTTCAGGAGTTCAGTATAATGTAGAAGCTCTGGAGAGCAGCTTATTACTAAACAAAAATGTTAAATATATTTTATTAACCATGAAACGCTTGAATGTTTTACTTGTCACAGGCTTTTTTCACTCTTGCAAGAGATATCAAAGCAAAAATGGACAAGAAGTTGGTGAGTAACTTTTACTTCATCCAAGCTGTATTTAAAGAGGAAAAAAACAACCCGAAAGCCAGAAAGATTCCTGTTGACTTTAGTGATGGATTTTGTGTATGGCAGGCTTGATTCAAGAAAATGAATAGATGAAGTATGGATGCTAGAAGCTGTTAAGGATAAATAAGTAACTTAATATTCTTTGCGTCTTCAGGAAGGCAATAGCCCACAAGGCAGCAACCAGGGAGTCAAAATCACACCAGACCAGCAAAAGAAAAGCAGCTTTTTCCGATGTGTTCTTCTGTGAGGGACACGGCCTTAATCTGCTCAGCTGAACTGGACTGTGCCTGTTCTGAGTGAGATTTCCTCTGTCTGTGGACTTTCAACATACCTTGTCACTTTGTGACCATCTGAATAAGAAATTGTTTATTTTAATAATTGTCTGACTCTTCAATTTTGGAGATGAAACAAGTTTATTTTTGTCAGATTGCCACTGGGCATGCGTATTGTCTAGCAGAGGGAGTACAGATCAACCGTGACCTGTGACAGAGCACCTTTGCTGACAGGCTTCAACCTTTTTGTTCATATCTGTGATGTATCCAAATTAGAAAGATTAAGTTATGATCAAAATAAGAAACTGAAATGCCAATATTGATAAAGTCCAGGTATGTGTACATGAGACATGTGCATATCCATGTCTGCAGGTGCATACAGAACAATCGCATCAAAACATCCAAGAAATGCACTTAGGAAGCAGTCCAGGCTCGTACCTTTTCAGAAGGTAGAAAGAAGCTTTCTGCACCTCCGCCTCTTTGCTACTACAGAGAAAATCCTTTATCTGCCTGTTACTTACTCAGACAATCCCCAAGTACAATTGAAGTTAAAAAAAAAAAAATCCTCCTCAAAGGAATCTCTATTTTTTTAAAAAACCAAAGTGTGCTGTAAATATAATTGATCCTTACCATCAGGAATTACTTTATCCATGTTAGACTTGACCGTGCTTAATGAAATACTCGACATTTAGACATGGTTAACAGGAGATGATAGCTACGCCGAGTCCCATGCCAGTGATCTGTTGTCTGTTTTGAGAGAAACGGACCCTGGTTCAGGCAGGGACACTTAAAATGTGTAACGTCACAACGGGTGGCTTTTCCTTCTCCAGCTGAGAATGACGCCAGACCTGTCATGATGTAGTAGCTAGTTATAAATTGTGACAAGAAAATGTATTGCACTGCTTCCAGTTGTGTGTTCTCATGCACACTTGCTCACATATGCAAATAAATATTGCACATATGAACACTTTCTGAAAAGAAACTTTTTTTAAACGGAGATTTGCCTTGCTGCTGTGTATTGATCATTTCTGATTTCAAGCAGCAACAAACCTGTTAATAGCCTGCATCAATGCAAATGATGTTTCGTCCTCAGTGGAAATATTCGATGTATTTATTCCTATAAACACAGTCTATTACATTCCGATGTAGAAAATGGAACAGTCAAGTGAAGCTCCTAGGTGGCTAATGGCTCTCAGTTCAGAGGCTGTAAGCCAGACTCTTCATTAGACTGTCGAAAGGAGCCAGCAAGAGCCATCTACTCAAAGTCTGCTGTCAAGGGATGGGATTTGTGGTATGTTTAATTCAAATGAACATATCGGCTGTGTCCTGCAACTCACTGGAATTGTTAACATGCTTTGTTTACATTGACAACTGCACTTAAGAGTAAAATTAAAGCTGATTTTAAAGTTAATGAATTTACTCACCAGTTTTGTTTTCTTCAAGTTTTGTGGTATTATATTCTGGCCTCAAAGTAGCACTCGGAAGTGCTCCTGTAGTTAAAGTTCTGTCAGGTTCATAATTAAACTTTATAAATCTGCAGCATGCAGCTGGGCTCAACAGGAATATTGCCTGTTTTTCTAAAATGGAAAAAGGACATTTTACGTACAAGTTACTGGTTTATAAAAATGTATTTTATATGCTACCAGCTTTTTCTTTTAATGGCTAGCAGATTACAGTGAGCTCTGTTCATGATTAAAATCGTACGTAAAGTTTTCCTCTAACCAGAACCTTATGATGGGTTTTTTTTGTTTACTTGTGGCTTTTTAGCATGAGGACTTGGTGAACGTGCACCATAGTGGATTACACACAGATGTGTTTGGAGGATAAAGTCACGTTAAGCTACTGAAGAGCCTCTGGTCAGTACGTGCTTCTAGTCAGCGTATGCTTCAAAGCGCAGTTAATACAGAGCTATAGATCGGACAAGCGAGGCTTCTGTCTTGAGATAAGGATGCTTTTAAAGAAAGATTTCGTGTATGCTTCAATAAATTTTTGAGGCTGAATTGGGGAGGTGATGAAGGCGTGATCTGAACGTTGTTTTCCTACACAAAACAGATCTGTTTAACGACTTGTTTCTGGCTTAGCAGTGAATGTGGATTTTCTCACACCCATCCTTCTGCTTTAATACAGCCAGATGTTGCAGCAACACTTAGTGTTCAAAGTGACTGGAAAAAAGAAGTGGTTAGTCCCAGGCTGCCCACCACGATGCTGTGTGTTACCTGTGGATGGTGTCTACATTGCTAACTCGTCTTGAGATGAGAAAGAAAACCATAGTCCTTTACAAGCGATAGAAATCAAAGGACAGAATTGTGGTTTTCACTCCCCATTTTCTAAATCTTTAGTTACTCTTTTGCATTCAAAGCTAACTCTTTGTACGTGAGTACCTTTATGCTGGTTGTTGCACATTTATGTACCTAATTTATAGCATGATCTTTTACAAAATGATTGGTTTTACTCAATGAACAACTACATTATTGCCCGATCTCAGGACGTTTCATACAGTTACTGTGACTACAGTCAGCACTGTACTTCTAGGGTATACAGACTACACAGAAATTAATCGGTGTAAGCAATATGAAGCCTAAAATGCAAATGTGAGACGGGAAAAAGTTAAAGTCACTGCAGATGCATGTGTGCTTGGCTATGTGTCGCTAAATACGGACATCAGGTCTTGGAGAAGTGCAATATGTAGTTGATGTTTCCATCACATGATTCAATTACTGTGTTTTTGTTTAAGTATGAATGTTATGGAAAACACAATGATCAAAGGAGGTACTGTGTAAATGCATCCAGTAATGTGTTTATATCTCAGCTTTCTTTAAGTAGGAAAAAATCTGAAATTGGATACAGAATTTGTAAAACTGAGGAATTTAAGTAGATCCGAAAAACTAACTACATTCTTACTACACATTCTCAGTGTCTAAATGCCACTAAAATTTCAGGTAATTGATTAACACTTGGTGTGTAAAGAAACAAACCTATTTTTGAGCATGTTTTCAAATTCCCTTATTTTATTGAGTATCATAGAATTCTGTGGTTGACCTTATTTTTGAGGCTGGTTGCAATATTTCAGATAGTCTTCACCCTTTCAGGTGCAGACCTGTCAATAAACGGTGGAACTGCTATTTTAACACTTGGCCATGTTAACGCTTGCGTTGTCTAAGTCCTGTGCTGACAGGCACACCTAATGTTCCTTGACATCAGAGCCTTATGCCAGCATCAGACTTTCAGCCTCAGATTTATAAATCCTATGGATTATTGTAAGTCTCTTTACTGCTGCTGAAAATTATTTGGTCTCTCCTTTCATGTGAGATGCTAATCATCTTGCTGACAATTGTTAAGGGTTTTATGGTGGTGGTGGCGGTGTCTTTGGCTGATGATTGTGCTCAAAAGCTACCGTGATTTCTTGTTCTCTTGGACTTGAAACAGCTGGGGTGTATGCTGGAGAGGAAATGGACAAACAGCTGCGTAGAGAATGGTCTCCATTTGTACTAGAAGTTCGTAGGGGTTGGGAAAGAATGATGACTGATGTCTGTCTTCATTTATAGATTCAATAAAGGTCTGTTCAATTGAATGTTATGGTAACGTGCAGTCTGATTATTTCAGGCTGCCTTATTCCTTGACCTGTCTCTTTCACTGATCATCGGAGTTTTTGTTTCTGTAGTTAATGCAAGTTTAGTGGGCTGGTCTCTCTGGCCTTTGCTCTCAGTTGAACGTGAGTTGGGACTTATGACTTTGTTCTGAAGGGAACTTAATGCATCCCAAAACTTTTTTAAAACAACTGTAAATCGTGTTTTTAGGATGACCACTTTTGGCTGCCACCCTTCCCACATTACAACTGCTTTCTTGAACACTTCTCATTGATTTTCATGTTTGTATTAAAAACAAAACTGTTGTTTATTACAGTATGTATGTTTTTACTCTGTTGTACAGGACCCTGAGCACTGCATAAATAAACTTCTTATGAAAAGAGATTTTACAAACTTAGTTTGTCAGTTTTGTTCATAATTCATGCATGTAGATTCTTGTGTGGAAAACAGGGTGTTTCTGAAAGTAGAAGAGAGGGACAGGAACCCAGGGTAGGCTCTTGTGTCCTTTAAAAGTATGTTGACTTTTCATTATATATTCTGAAATGGAGAGCTCTTTTTAGAAGCTATTTTTCTTAGAAGCTATGATTTGATACAAGCTCCTCTACTACCTGGTGGTATCTGAACTTTAACAAAATATTTCCCATCTCACTGTCTAGGCCAGATTTGCTCCAGCTGTAGGGGGAAATAGACATTTTGTTACATTACATGGAAATCTTGATGAAGAGCTTACTGAATTGTTCCTTTTAAAGAGATAAACAAGAGCCACAATTCTCTGGTTCAGTTACCAGAAATTGTCCTCTTTGGTCCTCTCATCTTGCTCTCTCATGGATGGTAATCTCAGGTGAAATAATAGTTGTTGAAGGTTCAAGAAGCACTTCAGTCTACGTTTCACTGGATTCAGATTCGAATGTGAAATGTGCTATTGAAAAAAAAGGAAATAACAATCACTTATGTATCACTCTTCTCTCTTCAAAGGGATTCACTACAATTAATACCGTACAATAAATTGGAAACTATTTTGTGAAGCACTTGCAAAGAATAGATATGTTAAGTAAACGCAAGATTTGAGTGCTGCTTTGTGTGAGACATGCACCAGGAACCATTTTAAGCCTATGTTATGCTTGAGTGAGCTAATCTTATAAATTTATCAATGGAGCCCGTTGTAATATTATTTTTTTAAGTTACAAGAACTTTTTGTCATGTAAAAAGTACATCAGAGGTTCAAAAAGCAAGTCAAGAAGCCTCCACACCTTTTCAAGCATCTTTTTTCCCAGTCTTTGCAGTGGGCACCTCTACTAGAAACTGTCAGGGAAGAGTGGTAATCCCTAATGGCCGAGGAGACATAAAACACATTTCAGAGACTTCTGGCAAAAAAACTAAAAGAAATGTTGTGTTAGAAATTAAAAGCAAATATTACCTGAGGAAATCTGGAGCTCGTATTATCATATGCTGAAAGTCTTCCAAAGACAGCTTGCCGTCGTTGTCCACATCAGCTTCGTAAATCACCTTTTCACATACAAGGCTAACTTCTTCTGGGGTAAGTTCATTTCGGGTTAATTTGTTAACAGTTTTCTCTAGATCTGATTTGCATATGTAATCATCGTTGTTAAAATCTGTCAAAGGAAACAAAATGTATTCAAAGTGACAAACAGCATTTTACATGGTTGACTGCCAAGACCTAATAGGAAAGGTTTGGTTCCCAGGCCATAATGTATTTGTGTAAGCACAACTTTCAAATCAGGAATGAAGTTATCTGTATTTGCTTGTATAAAAATTCAATAACAAAATAAAAATCCCAGAGTCATTTCCCCTTATACATAAGAATACAAATTGTAAACAGTT